TTTGGTAGGTAAATAATTCATAGACAAACGTTTAAAACCACCATAGTAAATTTAAGCATTAGATTTCGAAGTAATTCATAGGTTTTGCTAAATGATAAATGAAAAACTAATAATAAGAACCAAAATAATTCGTTTATATAAAGTTAAGGGATTAAAATAAAATGAAATAAATAGCGAGGGAAAAATGGATTTAACCTTTTCATTAATTATCTAAAATATTAGTAAGTATAAAGAATCTACTTTTGGAGTTTGAATCCCTCCTTCCACAATTATCGTTTTCAAATTTTGTAAAAAAAAAAGGAAAAAAGAGGAACCGTTGGTTGAAAACATTTACATTTTATTTAGTAGAATGAAAACGGAAAGTAGGAAGGAATAGTTCTAAGTTCATATCACGTGCCAAAATCAACAATCAATCTGTTAATTTTATTTTATTCGGTTAATTTGAATATAGTTAAATGAATAAAATAATTATTATAATAATTGAAGGTTCCATATTTCCTTTGATAATTATTAAATTAAAGGAAAAAAATTCGGAGGATAAAAAAATATATCATTCATTTTTGCATTCCCATATTTTTTTTATAGGTTTCCAAGTAAAAATGCATAGTTTGATAATATATTGCTACCAAGTTGTAGACTAACTATGAAATTGATTTTCAATCTTTTCAAGATTATTATCTTATCATATGAATTTTAGAATTTCACTAGTTAGATAGTCAATTATAAATTATGACAACCATCAGTCATTTGAAAATACATATTCGATTATTTGGACAAGACTCCTCTCGAATCAACTAGAACAATTATCAATCATTATTTTAGTAAACTATTGTCTCACCAACTAACTAAAAAGAACTCCAATTTCGCTCAAAATATTGACTTTGACTTAAATTGCGCTGTGTCTAAAAATAGTGAAAGAAGTATTCAAAATTATAATCATGATTCGTTGAATAAATTCTTGGTCTTCAAAAATTAAATCACATGGGTTGAAAACCCCAAATTAACTTTCCATTTGATTTCAACCGTTTCATAATTACCATGAAAAGAAAATAATGACAAAAAGAGAAAAAAAAAAGAAGAAAAAAGAAAACTACATCCCATACAATCTCTCATGACCAACTAGATTATTTTTGTCATTAATTGGTTCTACAAAAGAAGTTACATATCAATATTAATTATATTTTTGTCTCTCTTCATTGTCTTTTTTTTTTCTTCGATAAATTTTGATTTTTGCCATTGGTCTCCTACGTCAATTTTATTTTTTGAGTACCAGTGCTGCAAATGTTATACATCAATAGGTCACAAATAATATTGATATTCGAGGAATATTATTCTTTATTGTAAGTATCTATACTTGGGTTTTATTTTTTATTTTGGTCTCCCAAGTGTACGTCATAGTCCAACTTTGCGTAGAAAATTGGTGTAGCTTTTACTATTAATTTTATCTTTATAAATTTAGCAACAATTTTAATCTATTTTAAAACTCTACACTTAACACCTATCTCCATAGACATTAATTAATCGAGTAAAGACATATTTTATTAAGATTATGCTATATAATTTATAAAAAAAGATTATTAAAATAATTTTTTATACAAAATTCAGAGTCTAAAAGATAATATTTGAAATTTAAAAATAAGATATATAAAATTTGTCACTCGTACATATATTGATGATATTTTAAATATTTTCTTCAAAATTGAATCGATATCTTGATGTCAAGATGAGCATGTGCCTATATTTGATCAAAATGTCGTAAGTTTGAATCGATCCTACTCCACATGTTATACTAAAAACAATCGATACCTTAGAGAATAATTTGAATATATATTTTCATTTTAGTGGATCATAAGGCCATGGCTGTCATATATGATGTAGGCATGAAATAATAATTAGAAAATGACTTGGGCAGACGGCCACTCTTATTAATTTCTCCATTATATAATTTATAAAACATCTCATGAATGTTGACGATGATGTGATGGTCATGCAAATGGAAAGCCACCAAATGCTCCAAAATTGAACCCACATATGTGTTAATTACTCAACAACATTGATACAAAAATATTTTTTTTCAAATAATATTTCATTATAACTGATCGAAGTCATGACTCAAATGGATAAAGACACTTGTATATTATCCTCTTAGATTAGAGGTTCGATTCTCAACTCGAAAAAGTCTTGAATAACATTATATATATAGGAGTGAGAATCAAATGGTCTATTTGATAATATTCTTTGTTTTTTGTTTCTGTTTCTTATTTTTCTTGTTCCTTCTTTATATACGGGAAAAAAAACATAAACATATTTGGTAACAATTTCTTGTTTTTTATTCTCTAAAGAAGTAAAAGTTTTATAAGAACATTAAGTATTCAATTTTTTAGGATAAAATAACGCTTTTATTTATGTTGTGTAACAAATTAGAAACCTGGACCAAAAAATAATAAATTTAATTTTGTTGTTTTTAAAAGTTCTACCGTTTTGAAAATGTTTCTTAAAAATGATAAAATAGAATTAAAAATAGGTACTAAATGCTTGTGTCTCTAAAAAAACAAGAATGTAATAATTACCAACCAGGTTCTAAATTTTTGACCTATCAAAAATATTACTAACGCTTTAAATCTCTGATCTCGATAATATTTCTTTAATCCGTTAAATTAGGTCTAAAATTGATGTGTACTTACGTGGCTTCGAATCCAATTTCATGATTGGCATATAAATAATTTAAGATATTTTTCTCTATAATTGATGGATGGAGCTTGATTTTAGAGGTTTTTATTATATATATATATATATATATATATATTTTTTTTTTGGTTCGAGTCCTAGAAAAGAAGTTGATTAAATATTAATAAAAGGGTTGATATCAATCAAAAGTTTAGAAATAATTTTGAAGTATTTACCGAATCATTTTCTTACCATGTAATAAGGCGAATTATACAAATCTAACTTTAAAGTTTTAAATATCATGACATTGAACCATAAATTTAAATAAATGGTCGAATTAATTATTTCGTTGAACTTCTTTTTTTAAGATTATTGTAAGAATGGGTTAATTTAGCTGCTGTGTGGGGTTGAATTTGGACTTTTTTCTTACCTACTTAATTTTGTGGCTAGGTTTAAATATTCTCAAGGTTGAATCCATATATTTCTATGGTTTAAATTTTGAATCCATAACGAACTATTCAGTGTAGTCAATTGAATATATAGGTAAGCTTTCAAGACAATCATGCATTTTCTAAAATTGGATGTTCAATCTTCCACCCCACACTTGTTTGAACTAAAATAATAATAACAATAATAATAATCAAATGGATCCTACGTAGAAAAAAGAGAAGAGACCAAAACAATGATTTATAATAGACATGAGTTACTCCTCCTATTGTCAATTGGTTTTGAGATAGAACCTCATGAATATTAATGTGGTATCAGAGCCCAAAAAACATCCAGTCCAAAAATGGGATCCGACCAATATTGATGAGCCAAGAAGGACAATTGGTTTTGAGATGGAACCCATGAATATTAATAAAATGATATGTTTAGTAACATTCTTGTATTTGAGAAATAATAATAATAATAACAACATTCGATTTTCTTTATTGAAAACATATATCTTATCAGTAATATTTTGTGTTTTGATGTGTTATTCATGTTAAAGGTAAAACCATTGACGTTTCTTAGTCACAAAACATAAAAATTTTCAAATGTGTGTTTAGTAGCAAATTTGGTAATTGAATTTTAATTTTACAAATGGTTCAATATATATTTGTAGTAGTTACAAACTAAATATTTAGTTTAATCTAAAATAATATGAATTTATTTATTAACATTTTTGTTATGCATTTTGTACAAATATTATTTTACAATTTTATATAATTTATAATACGTTGTACTTTTACATTTTTTAGCTGTAACAAAAATAATTTGAGTTTATAACATGAAATAATATATTTATAAGAGTTTTATTATTTTTTTTAATGTAATTAAGCATCTTAAAATTTAATTTCTAAATTTGTGAACACTCAAAACAATGTTAGTTTCAGAATTTTCAGGATAACAGAATCCTAAAAAAGTAAAAAAAAAAAAAAATGTGATACCCTCCAGAAATTAGAACTCATTTTCCTAGAAATAAATAAATAAATATATATATATATATATATGTGTGTGTGGAAACGTACTTGAATTTATTGTAGAAAAGTCTAATTACTAGTTGAATCTTTTACGCCTTAACAAATTATCACTTTTTCCTTAGCTTTTATTTTTCTTATTTGTGGACATTTTTTCCCCACATGGGATGATGAAAAAAAGTTAATTATTTTACTAGTTAGGTGCAATTTTTTTCGGAGGGAGATTAAATTCAAACCTAACCCAAAATCAGAAAAGCATTAATAATCATAAAAATTTCTATTAAATGCCATTAAGATGCATGTATCCACACTAATAGCAGGTGAAACATCAATTTTAGTGGCAATGGGTCTTCTAACGGTAGCTAGAACACGCACAGCCTCATTTCTAACTTGACTCGATATTAGTTTCTACTTTTTTTCTTAGTACAACATGTAGGGTGGGGAAGGTTGGAGATACATGACAATTACTGCTGATGCTCGTTTTGGCAGGTATCAACTTCTACTTTATTAAGTACTAATATGTATCTTCGAAGTATACGTGGTTGAGTACCACACTGGTACAAAATTCTATTAGCGAAAAGTTCATTATCCCACGTTAGAATCGACCTCAAATCACTTGCTGACATGTCATCTCAACTAAAATCCTACCTCAACAAGATAGATATAATCTTGAAAGCATAAGTGGCCGAGTACCACATTGGTACAAAATTCTATTGGTAAGAAAGTTCGGCCGCCCACGTCAGAATCTACCATAAATCCCTTACTTGTTATCTTATCTCGACCACAATCCAACCTTAACAAACTAAGTTCCCCCATTTTTTCAGTGATCAAAATCAAATTAGTTTCCATGTTCTCCAAAGAGACACAGTTTGGAAAAGAAAAGTTTCTTTCTAGAATGTCGAACTTTGTAGGCCATATTTTAAGCGACATTTAGTCAGAGAGACGGCGGTTTAAAATCGAAAAGAAACAGGACAAACTATTATCCGGGAAACGTGGTTTTAATTCTCTTCCCTCCCTCCTCGAAGCAAAGATTCTCCATCCCTTGTCTGATCTTGATCAAAAAATAATATTTTGATCGAACAATCCAGATTCATCCTCTGTATTCGCCGACGTAGGATCCGCCGCAGCAGATCTCCACCAACCAAGAGAGCTTCACCTACTACCACTTTCCTCGCTCCTTCCGCCATTTCTCTTCCTCTGTTCTCTTATTTATACCCCCTCCCATTCCCCATCTTCTTCTTCAAACCCCAATTCTTCATTTCTGCAACAACAAAAAAACTCTGTTTTTGTGTGTATAATGGGCAGCATTCAGGCAGATAGAACAGTGACGGGATTTGCCGCGAGAGACCCATCTGGGTTTCTCTCTCCCTATACTTACACACTCAGGTGGGGATCCAGTACAATCAATAAAACTCCATTTTTTTTCTTTTTTTGGGTTGAAAAACTGATGGGGTTTTGAAAATTTCGAACTTGGCAGAGAAACAGGGCCGGAGGATGTTTATATCAGAGTAATTTGCTGTGGGTTGTGCCATACTGACATTCATCAGGTCAAGAATGACCTCGGCATGTCCAATTATCCCATGGTTCCTGGGTAAGAACAAAACAAACTCACTTGACCCTTTAAATTTTTTAATGTGAGTTGAATAATTTTAATGGGTTTTTGTTTTTGTTTTGTTGTTTTGTTTTTTGCAGGCACGAAGTGGTGGGGGAGGTGATGGAGATTGGGAAGAATGTGGAGAGATTCAGAGTGAAGGATATTGTGGGAGTTGGGTGCATTGTAGGATCCTGCAAAAGCTGTCTGCGCTGTGAGACTGATCGAGAGCAATATTGCAACAACAGGATCTGGACCAACAACGATGTCTACACCGATGGCAAGCCCACCCAAGGCGGCTTTGCCACCGCCATGGTCGTCGACCAAAGGTAAATCTTTAGTCATGAGTGGAGTAGTTGATGTATCTTATAAATTTTGTCTGGCAGCCTAGAAGCAGATTAGTTCATGTATCTTATAAATTGTTTGTGTCGTGTAGGTTTGTGGTGAAAATCCCAGATGGGATGGCGGCGGAGCAGGCGGCGGGGCTGCTATGCGCGGGGGTGACGGTGTACAGCCCGCTGAACCACTTTGGGCTGAAGGGGAGCGGGCTGAGGGGAGGGATTTTGGGGCTGGGCGGCGTGGGGCACATGGGGGTGAAGCTAGCCAAGGCATTGGGCCACCATGTCACAGTCATAAGCTCATCCGACAAGAAGAGACAAGAAGCCATCGACCACCTCGGTGCCGACGACTACCTCGTCAGCTCTGACCTCGGCCGGATGCAGCAGGCCGCCGACTCTCTCGATTACATCATTGACACCGTCCCGGCGCTTCACCCTCTCGAGCCTTATCTTTCTTTGCTAAAACTCGACGGGAAGTTGATCTTGCTTGGTGTCGTCAATAATCCTTTGCAGTTCGTCTCCCCCATGGTCATTCTTGGTGAGCTTCTTTATCTATATCTCGTCTCAAAATCAATTGATAATAAGAGAAGTGGTTCAAAGTTAAATCCCTCCCACAAGAATCCTAAACAAGTCCCTCAAAATAGTAGTTCTCTGATCATATCTCATTTTTAAACCTCACTTTAAATCGGTTGGGTTCTCAAGATATCATACCAATAATCCATAAGTTTTATCTCAAAACCAATTGCCAACAAGAAGAGCACTAGTACAGAGTTAGATCTTAGATTCAAAAACTAGATTCAAAAACTCGAGGTTACTAGAATGCAATGTTTTATGCAGGGAGGAAGACGATAACGGGGAGCTTCATAGGGAGCATGAAGGAGACGCAGGAGGTATTGGAGTTCTTCAAAGAGAAGGAACTGAGCTCGATGGTGGAAGTGGTGAAGATGGATTACATAAACAAAGCCATGGAGAGGTTGGAGAAGAATGATGTTAGATACAGGTTCGTGGTGGATGTTGAAGGAAGCAAGTTTTAGTTGCTGATTCTGATTCTGATTTTGATTCTTAAACGTGGCGGCCATGCGCAGCTGCTTTATTCTCCTTAGCCTGCTGAATCTTCAGTCTTTTATCTGCTTTTTATGAATTGTTATAGAAACTTGAGCTGTTTTTTGGTATAATTTTGATGTGAAGTTCAGATATATTGTTAATCACTTTATACTTTCAAAAAGAAACTAAAAGACCAAAATGATTGTGTTTTTCTCTTGTGAAGAAAAGAGAATGCATTAAGAACTCGCCAATATGAGGTACATTAAATGAAAGTTCTATTAATGGAAGTAACATCTGAAAATGGTATGGGTTTACAAGAACTTTGATTGTGTTATGCTATATTTGGAAATTGGAGGTATTAAAATTAAATCCGCCTTCTTGAATTGCTAACTTCAAGAGATATTAATATTAAACCCGCTCTTAAAATTGGAGTAAGCCTAAATCCGAGAGGTATTGGTACTTGAACAATACTCAAGTACTTCCTACTCAACCTTCATCATTTTATTATTACACAAATAAATATTTGACAACTTTTTAGATTCCTGAATAATATAAATATATCTTTTTTTCTTTCTTTCTCGGGTATACTTGTCAAAATTTTAATAGTGATAAACAAAATAGAAGTACCGATATTACCTAAATATTTTTCTTCGCACCACAAAAACTCGACATTGCCGATAAGTACAGGAACATAGAAATGTTGGAATAGGAAATGCCCCAAATTTTTGCTTATAAAAGGAGTGCTCATAAGCACCATAAATTTCAACTCAATTTTCTATATCAATTGTTAAGATTGAAGGTTTTGAAAGATTAAAGACTCAAAGGCAGTTAATAAAATGTTTTCCATCACTTTTTCTATAGCTTCTCATCTTATCACAAAGGGAAAGGAACAAAATGATACCAGCAACTTTTGTCTTTTTATAATCTCAAAGAGGATGAATAAGGCAATAACGATGCATACAGTGCATTGCAAAAGCGAAATTTGAACGACGCATCGGTAGTACCCAAGTAGATACAGTATTTGTTAGCTTTACAAGCTTTAATCATACCATAAGTTTTTATGATAACAAACTTAATTTACTGATGATTTTAGTATTTCAAAGTATCCATAATGTAGAGCTTGAAAAGACAAATCCAACGCAATTTGAATCGCTCAAATCGGAGTTCAAACGAATAAGTTATGGTCAAAAAAATATTGAGAAGAAAATCCCACGTAGATGATGATGTAGATAGAAGGACTAATTAGCATCCGCCACGTGGTAGTAGGATGACGTGGAATTTCAACCATCCCTTTTCATGACATGGACGATGACATGGCCGCTAACGTGAAAATGACGTGGGTGGTTACGTGGTTGGTGACATGGAGATGGTGTGGGTGGTGATGTGTAAGGCGATGTGTTCGGTGATGCATATGGAGGCTGACTAGGCATTGACGTGTATGGTGACGTGGTTGCTGACATGACCTATACGGTAATGTGGTGGCTAAATGGGCAATGATGTGTTAGCTGACGTGTAGGCTGACTGGGTAGTGTGTTCGGTGTTGTGAAGCTGACTGTGCAGTGACGTGTTCGATGACGTGGATGCTAACTAGGCAGTGACCTATACGGTGACGTAGTGGCTGACTGGGCATTGATATGTATGTTGACGTGTAGGCTAACTGGACAGTGACGTGGAGGCTGAATCAATAGTGATGTGTACACTAATGTGGAAGCTGACTAGGCCATGACGTACTAGGCTAACTAGGCAGTGATGTGTTCATTGACATGGCTGGTGATGTCGACAGTGACGTGGCTGTGATGTGGCCGATGACGTGGTCGATGACGTGTGTGGTGACGCAAACGATTACTGGATGAAGCAAGCTTGACACATTATTATTAAATGGAAATATTAATATTTCAAACTTCAGACGAATTAGAGCGCGATATTAGTCAACCTGCAGATTTTTAAAAATTTTATTATTCAACTAATCAAGTACTGACATATGGCAGCCAACAGTTAGTTTTTTTGTTTCTAACTCTATCTAAGCTCGAAAAAATTTCCAAAAAATCATACCATTGAGCTGAATCTCTTAGAGACTTTTTGAATAATTTTTCTTAAGTTTTTGGGTTATTTTGAGCATTTTTATTTGGCTATTTGAGAACCTTTAGAGGTTGTTAGATTTCATCTTCTTATTAATCGTTGGAAGAGTTTTAGTGCGTGAAAAATCTTAATTCTCACACTTATATTGGGTTTAGTTCTTGAGCTCGGTAAAAAGAACGGAATGTGGGTTTCGATCTTTGCCCTAAGAAAAATTTTGAGTTTAGTTCTACTGATCCCATAAAAGGACCGAGTTTACGATCTTGAACCCGTAAAAAGATCGTATTTAGTGAAAAAATCTCAAGAGATGCTCGAGGAGTGGAGTAGGCAGGAGTTAGCTAAACCACTATAATAAATCATTTGCGTAACGTCTTCTCTATCCCTATACTTTTTATTTATAACAATTTATTTTTCAAACTTTTTTTATTGCAAATATATATTGTGCTCATCTTGAATATTTGTTTTATGACATTTTGGATTGCTATAAATTATGCATAAATTGTTTTTATTTAAAAGTGTACTTCATTATTTGATTTGTGCTTCAAATTGAAAAGGTTTAGAAAATTGATCATCAACACTATTCAYCCCTTGACACGTTTTGATCCATTTCCTCGTAGCGCAAAGTATTTATAYTTATGTTGTAAATTTTCATAATGCAATTTCTTTAATGATGGATCCCTTTGAACATTTCTTTGACATTTAACATCCAAAAGTATGATTTTGATCGTGTTCATCATAGTTTTCATTTTTGTCTCTAGCCGCACCTRAGAACCTTTTGTTATTCTCTTATAAAAAAATATATATATACTTACTTTTGTTATTATTGTATTAACCTCAAGCATTTGAAAGGTCAAACATTATGCTACAGTAAACTGTAATAGCAATGTATGTCGACTCAGATAATTTTGCTTCCCTCCATAATTGCTGAGATTTGGCTGTTATTTATACCAAATTTATGTTGAAGTAAGGATGCTACTAGTAAGGTAATAAAAACTATACTTGTTGACAACWATTACACATTTGTGAATAAAATAATAGAGATATATGCAAGATTTTAAATATTAACAAGCCGATGAGCTAACTAGTTGGTTTTGCAAAAGAAAAAACCAACAAGAACTCATTTCTCAAATACTATATTTTTTTACTCGTAAAATCATTTAATACAAATTAATAGTAATAATAATTGAGATATTCCCTATCTCAATTGCCATACCTAATCAGAATCAAATAAAGTCGAACCAAATCCAACAAAATGACCAACTATTGTTTTAATATTATTCCCTGCCTTGGTAATTTAAAGGTGAGCACAATTCTGAGACAATGTCATATTCCATTGAAAAGTTGGGTGGGGCTCTGTTTGTTATTAATTTACCTGTTTTTCATTTGCACTGCATAAGACATCCTTTTTCAGCACTGACCAAAGATGGCGAAGGGAATACAGCAGTTTAGAGACCTTTGCCAAGATCTAAATAAATGGTCTCTGCACATTAACAAACACATCTGCAGATACATACATGTTCAGGAAGCCTGATGGAATTGGAAGAAGAAAAAAAAATTCAAGTGTTTTTGTGTAAATTGCAAACAAAATGTATCAGGTAAAATCATTACATTCAACAGATCTATTTCATCAAAAATTCAGCCGCGTTAACTCACTTGCAGCCGTGATGCACAAGATGCCAAGATCCTACCCTAAAATTCCTGATATCGCTCGTCAAAAGGCCTGAAAAATTCAGCAACCGAGGCTGTAACGAGAACTTCCTCATTTCTTTCAAGATGCAAGTGAAAAATAAATGCAGTCATCAGTTTCTGTCGATGAAATCTTTGATCTATCAATCCTGCCTCAAGGTAAGCTGTAGCCGAAGCCATAACCTGAGATTATAAGTTCTGACTAAAGTACATGTTCATGAAGTATCTTGAAGGGTTGAAGCCAATCAAGATAACTGCAGCCAAAAAAAGAAAATGAGATTTACTTTCAGCACAAGAGCTCCGGAAAAATGGAGTTCAGGGTTTCATTATGACTTACAGATTGGAGTGAGGACAAAGACCACACCAATTGGATAGAGGAAGAAAGTAGTTTTCTCCAAAAATGGCAGTACTGCATTTGGGTACACGGTCAATAGTTTCATGGAACCAATCTTGCGGCTAATCAGAAACTACTAACTGAAAGAAACTCAAATATAGCAATGGTTTCTGTTAAGGATTATTATTTTGGATAAGATGTTAAGGATTATTTTATTAGAACACAGGAACTTAATTATTCATTTCCTTCGCTAATGTGTCAGGGGTTAATTTTTCCTCCAGTAATAGTTACTATCATCAGGTTCTCCCTACCAATACTTCAATTAATTTGAACAAGACTTTCAACTACAGTCCGGTATAGACTGAGACGAGCTAGAAGTTAGGGAACATGCACTTCCTCTCACCTCAACCAACTGTAAACTCAAAAAGTTTTAACCAACACATTTTTATCTCATTCACTGGCCATCCATCGAGTTAAAATCATTCTTAATTTCACTAACTCCACCCCCATCCCACCTTTCAATCATGCCCTCGATTGATTAGAATACTGGATGAGTTTGACATGAGTTGTCTTGGTATTTTTAACAAATTAAAAGCACTTTTTCAGAAGTATTTAATTAGAACATTTCCTAAAAGTACTAACATATATATTTATAAATTAAATCAAAGTACTAAAAATGTCATCCCAAACGTACTCTCAATCTCATAGATATAATAACCTTTAGGTTAAAATCCAAAGCACGATTTTCTAAATGGCACCTGCCTATAATTTCTAAAAAAACCAAAAAGTTCTAGACATGAAGAGAAAAAGGCTTTGTCCTCTCTGGTTCAGTATTCCTTGAAATATTTATTCAAGAACACAATAATATATAGACCAGAAAGGATCATCATAGAAAATGTAGCTTACCATCATAACCTAAAAAGTTGACGTAATGGTAGTATGAAGCCCCAATCATGAAAAGCATATTTGATAGCAATAATGGGATGAAGCCATGAGCCACCAGAAGCGGTGATATAAAGTAATGGATCACTGCAACGAAACCAAGACTTCAGATAGCATTATAGATGTTGGAAAACAAAACAAAAACAGAATCCCTTATCATACTTACCGTAAAGCAAAACAAACATTGGGAAGAAAGAATTGCAGTGCACATCAAATGCATAGAGCCTTGAACCAGTGAAAATAAAATAAATTAATAAATAAACCATATATCAATCCACTGATTTATAAGACTCAAGGGGAAGACATTGTGTAAATATAATAGAACAGTAAACTCAAAAGGCCACTGGAAAAGCAAGACTAAACGAACGGTTTAAAAATATTTGGTCCAAAAAACCGATATTTAACAGAAGTGTAGTTGAAATGAAGTTATAAACAATCCTGAATAAAGCAAAAATTGAGAGTAGTAGATCTTGCCATTCAACCCGTTGCTCAACTACATGACTGCCTGGTGTCTCTTCCCGAAGGTAAGCATTTGTTAGTAACCTGAAAGTACATTTGAGTAATGAAATTATGCACTATAAATTATATCAGTAGACTAAAAAAATATTTTGAACAATAAAGATTGAGGCAATGTGTGAACTTCATACAAATGCAACTTCGACATAATTTAATTTCAATATAGGAAACTGTCATAATACAGAGGACCTCAACAAGAAGGAAATGGAAAAAAGGCTAGATTGCCTATTATTTGTTTTAAGCCACATCATCTCTTTAGCCGATAACCCTTATGGTTCCTTAAACGCACTGTTGTACAAACTCTTACTCAACATGAGTAACAGGGAAGTTATACATTTACCATACTACATCAAATTAGGGTGGCTCATATCTTTGGTGTCGATGTCAACCGTTAGCTAGAAGATAGGATCCACCAAAATATATGTAAAGAGATGAACTCTTCTGAGAATGTTTTAGTCATGTGGTCAAACTAGCTGATCACCCTTAATCTAACTTTCATTCACATTGTCCATGTGCCTATTTCACTCAGTGCAGAAACAAATATCTGAAATTAAAGTCAGGAAGCATTAGACAAGGCACATCTAATTGGGACGATTCAAGTCCTAAATGCAAATAAGGATCGCCAAGAGAACAAATAATTAGTCAATATCCAGTACGTAAGATCCATTCAAGATTATAGCAAATGACGAATATTTCTTGTGTGGATAGAGAAATAATTTGCTGGTAAAATCATATAGTAACATGCACTCACAACAGGGAAATAGCTTACCAACAACAAGTAGCCAAAATCGCCCCAGTTATTAGCAAATGGAAGAGCAGTACTGAAATAACTACAAAAGTGGCATGTGCTGCACTATGATCATATCTGAAATTTTTAACAAAATGCAATCAGAAAACACAACTAAGGCGTAAACTAGCTGGATTTCTTAATAGACGACTTCATACAAAGAAGTGTATATATGAAAGAAAGTTCAACCACAACCAATCAAAAGAAAAGAAATCAATTATCACATGAAGCGTATAAGTGTACATGTTTATTTCAAATTTTTTTTTTTTTTGGGTGTTTGTGCAGGTGCATGTCTGTGTTATGTGTGAGAGAGAGGTGGAGGCTGATACACCTTCTTGTCAAGACTCTCGCTCTCTCTCACACAAACACATGCACAAAAAAACATTTTGGAAAGGAACAACCTTATGGACGCATGCTTCATTATAAAATAGACCAACAAAGAGATACTACGCAGAAGCATTGGTTACACTTACGCAGCACAGTAAGCCAAAGTTGCAACTGTCAAAAGAAGACTGCAGATCACAACAAAAGCAGGATCATCACGTGCCCATTGATTCTTAGTTTCTGACACAAGAAAGAAGCAAACAACTTTTCATTTGAATTCTATATAAGTGGAAAACCTTTATACTAGACATAATACATCCATTGTTAAGTTGTTTTTTTTTAAAAAAAAAAAGGGATTTCGTTCATGCAATTAAATATATAAAAGAGAAGAAGACCTCCAAGGCTAATGAGGGTTAAAAAAACCCCTCCAATTAGCATAAATATCACTAAGCAAATAATTTAAAAAAAAAAAAAAGAAAAAGGAAAAACTATCTAGCTTGCACCAAGTGGCTGCTGTATACAAAATGAGATCATAAATATAATTGTGGTTTCTCTCCTTCCCACCAAAGGTTCTATTGTTCCCTTGTTCCAAAGATCCTATTATTACATCTATTGTTAAGATTCAAGACAAATTTGTAATGATTTGATTAAGAAAAATTGCAAACCAGTTCTTATCTGCAAATTTACTTTTTAGTTTGGTTTTGAAATTTTTTTCTAAACAAAGAAGCTCACTGAAGGTATCATATCTGCAATTAAACTTGGTAGAACCAGTAAAAGAATACTGCTAACCAACTTTTTTTTGTAATTTTCAGATGAAAGGAGACATACCATAAATTTTTATGCATATAAAAAAAAATGATAAAATCACATATTAAATATAAAAGTTTAGTCTGAAAATAGCTTAATGGTAAGAAACCTATTGCCATCTCAAAGGTCAATGGTTCGATTCTCCACTACACTCAACCAGAAAAAAAAAACAAAAGAAGAAAAAGAAAAAAAAAAGGGAGATTAGATATTGATCTTGGGTTTAAAACCCACACTCGTAATGATCCCATGTAAGAGCCTCTATGGTCGAGTTTGTTAATATCATAAAAATGCTGGAAAGTTCTTTGACTTTATTTCAACTAGAGAACCCACATCTGTGTCAAATCACCCAACGCCCGACGGGCGTCTACTCATCAATCACAGCTAACTAGTACGCAACGAACATGTTAAAGATTGAATGTCAAATCAATTAAAAAATGAATTTGTTTTGGGTTGGCCGTTGGGTCACTCCACCTAATATTTTTAATGGATAAGAGAAAATTTAACAAAATCACAAATCCTAACCAAAGAGAAAGAGGATGTGAAAAACACCCAACACACACACACAAAAAGGAAGCATACAAACAAAACTAGGAATCAGGTCCTTTACATAAAAGGTCCGTCTCCATCACTTTTCTCTTCAATCTCTTATTATTTTAGGTTGACGATGATTTCTCCATCCTATATCTTATACTTTTGACATTAACTAAAAGTTATTGTGAGAAGCATCCCAACACGACTGAGAAGGAGACCTGAACAACAAAAGAAGAAGCACACAAACAAGCAAGAGTCGGAGACCTAAGAATCGGTCTACGAAACTGGTCCACTTCCATCACCTATTTCACCAATATTTGAGTAAAAAGTTAAATGTAGCAATAAGATTTCCCTAAGCAATATGCATGCAAATCCAACACCTCTAAGTATCGACCTGAGTATAAACCCCTGCCTTCTTTTAGTAAATGAATTCATTTTGAATTTAACTACAAATTCAATTACTCCACCTATTGGCATCGTATGTTGGTAGTAAGTTAACTATTAGAGGAACTCAACACAGAGTTAAAGGGCAAAGTGCACATTAGAGTAGAACTGAACTTAAAAACTGAATTACACATATCCATAAATCACATATGAGTATGGTAATAGATTCGTTGACATCATTACAATCAGTACAAAAAGCAAAACAAAACAAAACTCTTTGATGGGAGATGGACTTACGCTTGTGATACTTGGTATGCTGATAACTGCGTCCATAGCAAAATTCCACAGAAAATACAAATAGAAATGATTAGGAAGGGCTAAAATAAAATTGAAACAAAGATTGCAACAGGTTTTAGAGAGTGACGATAAGCAATAAGAACCAATACGTACACAACTTTTGGTGAAGTGCATAGATGAAGCATTTGCCAGAATGTATATTCGATGTCCATTTGTTGCCACTGCAATTAACCAGATAAAGTGACGACTGATGAGATTAACGGTATCAAACAAGAAACACCACATAAGAAGGCAAATCGAAAGAAAATTAGTCACATTTTGGGGTCAATTCCTGACAATTTTTAATTTCCACAAGAAAACATTTCTACTCTATCAAACACTAAGAAAATTCATAATAAAAAATATTTCAAAATTTAAGGAATGGCAAAAAGAATATAACTAGCCAAAGCCTGCTCGGGGAGCAAGAAATTAGATAACAAATACAGAACAACTGTAACTTCAACTTATTCTCGTCGAACATGACAGAGCTCTGAACTGCTTGGATTCACAAGATCCACATCAAGGATGAAACAGTAGTTGAACAGCGTACAGTAAATTATGAATAATAGAACAACAAATGATCTGTCGAATTGAAGCAGGTAGGAAGAATCGCGGCTAAAATACAAAACTAGCATAAGCATTTAAGAACGAACTACAACCACACTCTTCCAATGTTTACACTAAGAACAAAGATAAAGAGATACAAAATCCTAAAAGAAGGATAAAACTAAATAAGATGATCATATACTGTCGAATTGAAGATGAATCGTTTACAAATTGGATGGGAAAAGTAGGAGTTTGATTGGTAGATGGAACGGATCTGGTAGAGACGGAAAAATAAAGATAATCTGAGGGAGTGAAAGAACCTTGACAATTCGGCGAAGGTACTGTAAATACATGGGATTAGCTCGAGATGAAGAGGACGAGGAGCGCCCTCTGGAAGCAGTGGGCAACATATCTGTTTCCTTCTAATCGTGTCTCCTTCTTCCTCCTCTGACACTTGAATTCAACTCAATTCTTTGCTCTGAGATCTGCGAATTTTCCGAACAGGCTGCCCCTTCTCCGTCGACGTGTTTCAGAAAACGGGCGATGAACAAATGATCCCTCTCTCTTCTCTCTCTTGAAATGTTCGATAAAATGATGATAGCCAAAGCTTACACGCGATTACGCATTTCTTTGCCTAATTAATTAAACACTGCCAATATATATATATATCATCTGCTTATCTATATATATATTTTAAAATAGATCGGCACTGTGTTAAGTCACCGATCTGACAAGAAAGTTTTCGAATTTCGACTACCATATATTGTATTAAAAAAAGATTTAATTTAAAATATTTTTGATTATCTTTCGTTGGAACGTCGGTATACATGTTAAGGTCTAAGTGGAGATATGTATAAATTTTTGATGTTTATAGATATTTTAGCAAAATTTTAAATTAAAATATAAGTATTTATTATTTTTAAATAAGTTAAAAATTACTGGTATTAATATTATGCTCATTTTGTTGTTAGTTTTTATATTTGTTAATTTTTTTTACCATATAATAAAAATGGACAGATGTTGACCCATGATCAATACAAAAACATTACTGAAGATTTGACTATTTTTTTAAGCATTGCTTTTCTTTTTTTAGGGCATTTTTGTGTTGCGATCAAAACCTTCAATTATGCCATTGAATTCTAATTTTAATTATAATAAGATTTTTTTTCTTTTTCTTTTTTTAAAACCATAATAAGATTCTAATGATAACATTATTACTTACCATTTAAATGTTTACATAATTAATTTGGTCCAACGTGAAAACAAATAACAAAATCAAACAGCCAACTGAACAAATAATGAGAAAAAAAAAATCAACAAAGCTGGTGGACAAATTATCTTTTAATTTTAATTTTATTTGGCAAAGATGATGATATGTCTAATATGATAACATTAAAAATATTTTATAGTATTATTACATTGAATTTGCATTGATTTAAAAATCACACTTCTATGGAAAAAAAAAACAGAAACATAAACTTTACAATAATGACCACATTTTTTTTAGAATACAACGTTAAAATTATAAGGTGGAGATTCGAATCTCCATCTATAAACAAGATATGAATTAAAAAAATGTACATATTAAAATGGAGAGCAGATTAAAAAAAAAAAAAAAAACTCTTAGACAACCACATTTGAATCTGAACCTTAATAGAGGAAGTTTGAATTTTGAAACTTTGACATGACTTTCCCAATCTTTATGATTACGGTACAAACAACTTCCATATTCACCCGCAGCAACTAACTATTAAGGCCTACCAACAGATCCTTTTGGTTTCCACCCCCAGCAGGAACAAGCACAACAAAAAAATACAAATGACTTCGATTAGGCTTCAGAATGGACATAAAACTCATGATCCGTTCGTACCGTGTCGCCTCCAACGTCAAATGCATTGCTGCATTAATCACCTAGAAGGTCGGAGGGCCGAGGGCGGTGGCTAAGCTATTCGGGGAATGGGGATGCTCTCAGCGGCAGGTAAAGTCACTGAGCGTAGCAGCTCCAATGAGAAAACTAGCCCCAGGAAATGAGAGAGGATAGTGTTCGCAGAAGCCTGCAAAAAGGAAAGATAAAAGTGATTAAATGGAACAAGGCCCTTAAATTAAGTAAATTGGCATCATCTCTTTAAGGATCAATGTACATTCTGATAAGCCTTTAGCAAGTTCGTTCAGTTCACACTCACGGTATGCTCGAGTGAGCTTTCCTGTTTTGTGTCTGCTGCATTCCTCACCTATTCTAGTTCCTCCTCTTTTTGTTCTTTCTAAAAGAACATATATGCCTTTATGTACATCATAATGATATGCTCTTGCAAGCAATAGCCGCTATAATTTATCCAATACTCACTTTTGTCATTCATTAAAAACACTTGGAAACATAAACTAAGTAACCATATTTCACCAACTAAAACCATTCTGAAACATATAGCCTACATAACCATATTCTATAGACTCAAGGTCGATGGAATTGCCAATCCAGATTAGCATACCAGTCCAATCAATTTTTCACCTTAATTTTTATGGCACGTACATATGCAGCATTTCTTTGAGTCCAAAATCTAAATATCTTTTATGTTCTTCAACAAAATAACCATTGTGAAAAAACGTACCTGGACTAAGAATACGTCCAAAGCAAGAACAGGGCTATTCCCAGGAGAGGCTCCCTGATAATACGGAATTGCTGACGAAGTAAGAGCCTTAGCAACTAACAATCCCACCGTTGCTTGCATCCCCAGAATGGCAGCACCCATCCCCAGAAGGTTCACTACTATTCCATTTCTTAGGCTATTCACAACATCGGCTCGGGGAGGAGCCTGAAATCGGGATCAACAAATAAAATGCAGAAACGTGAGTTTTGTCAATGTTCTACTTTATTTCATACATGGTCATGTTTAGCAGTTAAAATTTTCAAAAAGGCTACTCATTCAGTTACACAATGATCGAACTAAGTATATTGGTGGGAGGTTGCAGAAATAAATGATTGAGGAACAAAGTAAAGGAAGCATACCGAAAGCTGGATATATGGCCAAGTTGCATTCTAAGAACTACATTTTTTGATAAATAACTTCTTTAAGTAAAAAAATTAATAAAGGTAGAAAGTAGAAATCCACAAAAGTTAGAAGTGTTCGTGCATTTACCATGTCCCATCTCTCAACAAGGCAACAATTTTAATGCCAGAGCCTGAAGTCCACAAGGTTTATATTTGGATAGAAAAATAAAAAGAAAGATGATTAAGCCTTTTAAAATCTTTACTAAATAAGAAATAAGCCAAGTGGTAATACAGGTCATCATCCTTCTCATTTTAGAGCTTCCACTCACCAAATTCTTGAACGTTTTTCTAATAGAACCAAGTTGATAAATGTCATAACAGATAATAAGATCTATGTTTACTAGCAAAGAAATCCACTATCCAGTTTATACCAGATAAAAGTGGATGAATGAAAAGGATTTTGGTTTAGAAGGCCTGAGGGAACAAATAAATAGTTTCTCACTTTCTTGCACACTAAAGCTTAACGGTAATCTTGAGCAATCAGAAAAGACCGAGACCATGTGTAGTTATAATGTACCTTGGAGGGTTGATTTGCAGTCCGTAGAAGTTTATCAGAAAGCCGAATGTAACCAAAGGACCAAAATACAGAAATGAAAGCTGCTACAATACTGCCAGCGGTGGCATAAAAAGTGGCAGGTGATGTAATTTTCCCGGTGATGACAACAGAGAATGAAAGAATAACGGCAGAGACAATAGTGCACACCAACTGTCCCCAAAATCCGAGATTACCCAACCTCTTGAAATACCTCGATGTCTTCTCTAATCTCTTTGCCACCTATACCATCAAAGCAACTTACTTCATTATATGGTTAGCAATAATGATAGTAATGCAGTCTAGGAACCTCTACAAGAACAGTCACAAGACATCATTATTCAATTCAAAAGTAGTGACTACAAAGGCATAGCACTTAACTATATGCTGCCAATTAACCAACAATAACACAGTAAACTACTTAACAAACCACAAACTAACTAAGCCACTAAACAAGCAACTGATAAAAACAGCAAGGTAACTGTCAGAAGCAAGGTAACCAACTAAACAACATGCGAAATACAATATAGCCTAGATGAGACTTTGTCAGATAGTTTCACCAGAATGTTCAGGAAGTTGCATTTGTGAGCCCAAACGGTATTATCAAGACTTCCAAGTAGTCTTCATGGGTTTGAAAAGCAATCTTGGATCCTCTAGCTATACTTGTCTAACAAAACTAGGGACTAGGGTCTTGGATCTGCTAGCAATCAACACATAAAGGAGTGGTTGCCTGAGGAACCTGATGAATTTGGTAATACACAGACTTAAGGTCCAACTTATTGACTACTGTCGCTCTATAAAGTTCATTTAGTAATTCATCAATCAAAAATACTGGGAATTTAGTCGGTTCAAACTAGGCTCTGGGGCCTTGGATGTGCTAGCAATCAACACATAAAGGAGTGGTGGCCTGAGTTCCTCAGCCTGATGAATTTGGTAATACAAAGACTTATGGTCCAACTTATTGACTACTGTCACTATAAATTTCATTTAGTAATTCATCAATCAACAATACTGGGACTTCATTAGGGACAACCTCATGGTTTAATACAACTCAACTACCATTTCTTTACCAAA